GAGGGGAGAGGTAGGGGGTCAAATGCTGAGTGGCTGTTCCAAGAGAAGATTATTAAGCTGACTGGGGGCCGCGCTCGGACAAGTCTCGGACCCGACTGGGTGGTCCAGTTGGCCGCGTTCGTCCCTCCACCTCCCCCCGCTTCCCTCCGCCCCTCTCTGCCTCGATTCGTAGTTCTGCACCACTAATCCACCCCGCCGCATTCTTGAACAGGTCACAGTCTCTATGGACGCCTTCTCATTTCCTGCACACGCTGATAGACTTGCTGAAAGAACACCGCGCCCACTCCTCCCGCCCCCCTCCCAGCAGCACCTTTCCGATCCCAGCGTCCGAAACAGTGACAGTACCAGGCCTTATTTGTGCATTTACTGTCACAATCTGTACAGCAGAACGACGTCGTTCCCCTGCCGCATACTGGCATGTGGACCAATCAGCAGCGGATGAAGGGCGGGAGGGGGGCGATATTACCCACCTGCGGTCTCTGGTGAGCCGCCTGAAAGGTATGCCATTTGCGCCACAAAACCCCCCTAAATGTAGACAACCGACAGTGCATCCCCCCTTCCCCTTGTCAGCCAGACCTTAATCCGCGCCTGCGACCAGCACTCAGTCACTGCACTCGCGGCTGATGCGGCTGGCTGGGGGTGGTGAGAGCGCCCGCGTGCCCGGGCTGGCCCGGCCGCCCGGCCGCCGAGTGCGTTGGGCTGCCTACCCCGCCCGGCGCCCCGCCGCCACCGCCGCACAGCACGCCAAGAGCATCATCGAGAGCTCTGCTAATCGAGGGAAGATCGAGCTCTCGATAGGGATCGCCCCGGCTCGCTATCCGCTTCCTGCGTCATTACGGCCCTCCAGCACCTGGCCGCCCAGGTAAGCCAGCCATGCAAAGTAGCGCGCGCGCGCGCGCGCGCCAGTTTCTTTCTCCCCGGGACAGAAAACGGATTTTCCAATTGGAGGAGAGCACGCCGCCGGACGGAGTGGAGTAACAGACTGCTAGAAAAATGAGAGTTT